ACTTACAGTCCTCACTAAGCTCCTGGGGTTTTTTCTCTCTTCTGGGCCCCTGAATTAGTCACTTTATTTAATCCTCTGAGGTGTTGTAAGCCCGCTTAACCTAGAGGGGGAAGTGGCTGAGTCAAGGATCTGTCGGTAGGAAAATGTACCCTTAGACCTGAGAGCTGGCCTTCTTCCCGCTCTGCCCGCCCCCCTCCTGGCTCTGCGACGGGCTGCGCAGCCTCCGCGTTGGGCATGACTTTCACTGCCGTGTCACCGTCTTTTGTCAGGGTCTCAGTTGAAAGAGATGGCCTTTCACGTTTCTCAGTCCTTTCCTACCTTCCTGCGGAAGAATAGGTGTGATTCCTTCATTTCTTTGGTTTTAAATAAATTATTATTTTTTTAAGGCCGAGGCAGAGCATGATTGGCTTGAAAGGAGCCATGGCTTGGAGAACAACAATTTAAGAAGGAGACTGTTTGTCATGGGACCCCAGTGGACGGTCAGATGCTCAGACATCTGCAGAGACTCGGCCATGTGACAGCTCCCTGTGGTTAATGGTGGTGACTGGGGGTTTGTGTGTGTTTTCCTAGGATAAGTCACTAACTACTTGAATAGCTTTACAAGAAATCATAGCTGTCACCCCTGCAGCTCTCAAGTGTTTTTCTTTTTAAAGTAAACCAAAATACATTAAAAAAAATGTAGGAGTACAAGTCTCTAATGAAGGAGAGAGGCAGTGGGCATGACGGGAACTGGAAGTCGTGGCTGGCTGTCCTGGCCTGTCGGTGCCCCCCCGGGGAGCAGCGCGGGAAGCCATGTCAGTGTTAGGAACAGTGGACACTGAGGCGGGTGTGTCTTGGCCCGATGCCAGATTGTCCCCGGGTGTTGAGTGGCCCATGGCGCCGGAGTACCCAGGTCTCTCTGCACGGAGACTCGGTGGCTGTTACTTCCTTGGTGGATGCCAGGGGAGGGCATCCACAGCCATGATACACTCACGTTGTCTCAGCCCCGACACAGACGGTTTGTGTTGTGGCTGTGGACTCAAAGCTGGTACCTGGGAGTACACAGAAAGCTGGTACGTTCTCGGGAAAGGCTTCTTTGATACGGCATCTCTTGCTGGATGCTGAGGATGTCATTACACATGTGTATTACAGGAAAGCTTCCAGGTTTTGCCCTGTCTGTGGAAAGCATTTCTCAAATGAACATTTATATGTTAAGACCTCTTATTTTCTTATTTCCCCAAGAAACTCATTGAGTGATTAAAATTGACCTTGGTGTGTTGGTTTTAAGTTAGGTTTAAATTTTAAAATTAAGCCAGATTACATTTATCTTAATGAAATGAAAATTAAGGCATATTTTTTACATGACAAAGGGTACCACTTTAACAAAAGCCTTTATGAGTGACCAGCGTGGTAGGAACACTAACAACGTAAAATGAGAGCTGACTGACTGGTCAGACTACTTTTGGAGTCCCAATGTCCGAACGGGATATCGAAGATTGCTATCACCTATCCTTTGTGACAGCAGGAAGCACACTTAATATTCTTTTGTCTTTCCTAAAACTGCTATTTTAGGAAAGTGACTGTCAGGAAGAGAGGCTTTACCTGAGGACCGAGACCTGTGATTGTGCAGATGTTACCATGGGTAGTTAGCTAGTTATTAATTTTAAAAAAGTGGAGAGCAAAGGGAATTAGACACGGAGTTTAATAAACAGGGGAGCATGAGCCTATTTGCTTCACCAGGAAGCTACAGCTTTTCATACTCCAGGGGACCACAGCCTTGCCCCACCAAGGGGATTAACACTCCTTCCTTCCCCTCTCCAGTATCAGATTGTTGGGGGCGGGGGCGCAGGGGGGGCATGCTTGACCAAAGAGGCCTGTCAGTCTAACTAGGGGATGGACCCATTGCAAAGCCTGCGAAAGCCTAGGAAGTTGATTGGCTCTTTTGAAAAAGTACCTGGTCCATCCCAAACCCGAGCTAATATCCCAGAGGAGCAAGGAAGTGATCTCTCTCTCTCTCTCTCTCTCTGCCCACATTTGCCCCATGAACTCATGGGTCTTCTCTCCATAGCCATGTGGCCTTAGCAGTGGCCACATGGACTTCACACGCAGGCCCTACTGGGGAGACTGAATATATCAGCACAGCAACAGATTGCAGCTGGGGACACAAGCTAAACTAGGCAGGTGGTGGCCTGAGCTGAGCTTAATATGAAGCAGGAACTCAGGACACTGGCTTTTGCTTTGTTCTTGCTGAGGACGTGGTTGGACTTCTTCCATGGCAGGGCAAAGGGAAAGGGGACATTGGAAACCCAGGGAGCAGCTTCTATTTCCACTTGAATAAATCATCCTGCCACACTAGTCTCCCGTGTGCGGGTCCTTGGAAGCTCTCCTCGTGATCCAGTAAAAGAGCCTAATTTCCACAGGCAACACAGATGGGGGAAAGGTTGCATCTGTCTTAAAGAACAAGTCCTTTGGGGAAGTATCTGCCATGTGGAGTTTCTTTTTTCCAAACTTATACATAGAAGGAGAATAAAGACAATTTTTGCTCACTGACCTCTGGGCCACAGGAAGTTATTCACATTTTGTATCTGTTCTAGCTAGCTTTCTTCCCCGCCACTCCACTCCTCCAGTTTCCTACCTCCTTATCTCTTTTTTTCCTTCCTCCCCTCTCCTTTACTCCTTTCCCTTTCTCTCCTTCCTTTTTTTTAAAAAAAGATTTTGTTTATTCATTTTTAGACAGAGGGGAAGGGAGAGAGAAAGAGAGGGATAAAAACATCTATGTGTGGTTGCCTCTTCTGTGCCCCCTACTGGGGGCCTGGCCTGCAACCCAGGCATATGCCTGGACTGGGAATCGAACTAGTGACCCTTTGGTTCGTAGGCCAGTGCTCAAGCCACTGAGCTGCTCCAGCCAGGACTCTCCTTCCTTTTTTCCTTTCTCTTCCTTGGGATGATGATTAGTAAGTTCCACCTTTGTGATCTGAAAGAAATGAAGTGTGTTGTGACAAACTTACACTTGCGTAGGACTTGAGACATAAGGAGATTCCGGCGCCATGAATATTAATCCCTGAGAAAGGAATTTCTGTGCCTCGTTACACAGTTATTCTTGGCCCACGATGTTTGCTGCCTTTCTATTCTCCTTATGTACAGACTCACCATCAGTCTGTGGGATGAGGTAGGGCTGAAGAACCTTTTTCTTTCTAATAAGGGCCAGTGACCCCTGGGCGTGGGGTTATGGGGAAATCCAGAACCAGGCTGGAAAATCAGATTGACAGAATAATAGGCCTTCTACTTTTAAAGAGCCTAAAATGGAAATACATGAACTTCATTAGCTTTTTAAATTGAAGAGAATAAATTAACTCCTTATTCAGATACAGTCATCGTGACAACGTATGCTTATATACGTTTTATGTCTCAGTATAAAGCAGAGGCAGAAAAGACATGTGCAGACAAATGGCAAGAAGTAGTAGAGCGAGACAAAAGAAATTAAACTAGGGAGACAAAAGAAATTAAAAGAATAAAAAAATTAAGTTTTGAAGGAACTTGTGAAGGTAGACACCAGCACGGAAAACCTGCTTCTCTCCCGTCCCACGAAGGCAGTTTTCATTTCTGTAACCCCAGTTCTGGAGCTCCTCGAGTAAGTGTGGTGTCGTTTGGTTTTACCATCTGGTTAGTGATGAACACTAAAACCGCCACACCCGTATTTGGGAAACTGTACCTGCCTATTTGTCAGGGGCCTGAAAAGTTGTCGTTAAAGTTATTTATCAGTATAGTGCTCTGCAAATATTAATTCAATTAAAAATTTGTCCAAAAAATCCATAGGTTGTTTAAATATCTTCCTGATATTCTAAAAAGCACTAGAATTTAAAAATTATAATAAAATGTGCTGACCACTTAATTTTATAACAAACTGCTCAGGGAGTAAAAAATAGTTTTAAATGATTGACAGTGCATTTTTTTAATGCATTAAATGGCTTTCGTCCATAGGATTATGATTATTTAAGGGTTTAAAAACATGCCACAGGAAAGTAGTGAATGGTATGTTAATTTGTAGCATAAAGGAATCCTTTTCTTTCATGAATATAACTGTACACTCAAGGCTTTTAAAAGTATTTCAACTAAGGAATCTTAAAACTATGGCTTTTTGTTTGTTTTTAATCAGGTGATCACAAAACCAGATGACTCTGTTGGCACTTGCCACAATGGATGGTGTGAAACTAAGCTAGTCTAGTAATTTCCTGCTCCCGGTTGGGTGGCCCGGCCGGCCGGCCGCATGGGGTTGCCTGCAGCTGTGTTTGGGTGGCCTGCCTGCGAACGAAGTGGTTTCCTCAGGCTGGTTTGTTGCATGAGGGTGATAGTAATATTAGCCATTTGAGCTCCTTAGTGATGTGATCATGCTAGTCGAACACTTGTAATATGCGCAGTGCAAAAAAAAAATACAAATGTTAACACTACTTAGCCTCCAAAACCAATGAGTGGCTCAATTACATTATACATGCTTTTGGTTATTTGGGTGTGTGAACACTTAAAATGTTTTTCCTCTTGACTGTAGTCTTACTAGCCCGATAGTGGGATTTTAATTCTGTATATTCTCTCCTCCGCCTTTTTTTTTTTTTTGCCGAGTGGTATTTTTAAAAACTTGCCGTTATAGAGACATATATTGAGTAAGAAGTTAAAAATCGTATGCCCCTCCCTAGAAAGAACCACTTTTAACAGTTTGGTGTACAAGTTTCCAAACATCTTGCAAGTTTTTGTACTTTCTACTGTTCTGTTGGTTTGCTTCTTTCTATGTTGGCATCATACGTTTTTGATATCTAAAAGGGAAAAAAATCCTTCCTGAATTCTTTTTTTTCCAAAAACTTTAAACTGACCTTAAACATTTATTTACTTTTCCCAAAGAACTTTATAATCTGATAAGCAATATCTTATGGCTTGTTTAGAGGACGTTTCATACCTTTGATTTTATTTTTATATGTGATTTTATTCATGTAGTAATCGGTGTCTTTTCTCTTTCTCTTCCGTGTCAGAGCCCTGTGTGTGGAAACTCACATGAGACAGCTCAGTCGAGAAGGGTGGTAATTTCTCATCATATGGATAAAGCTCTGAAAGAAGGTAAGGGTTAAATGGGAGAGCGTAATTGCCATACAGAGCACTTGGTTATGGTGTTCTAAGAGGAAAATAATCTCTAGCAAAGTTATCTTTCCTTCCTGTCTCTATGTACGATTAGGATTTTTTTCTTCATGAATTTTTATTTGATGACTAAATAAATCTATCCATGTTTTGGTAGAACAGACAGGATGTAAACATTTTAGGTAAGACTTTCTAGGTCACCTGAAACTAGTCAGCCACGTGGAGTGTTTCCCATAGGAAGCAAGGATCTGATCTCTACCCCCTAAAATACGCTCTTCTTTTAGATGTAGCCCAGAGAAGGTGTAGTGGGAATGAATACACTCTACCCCGGCTCACTGAGAGACAAACCAATTGACCAAAATAAGGGATAGTGACCAGCCTTACAAAAGAATGAAATTTGTACTGAGGAATGTTGAATGGGGGGTTGCGGAGGGTGTAATATTTTACGTGTCTCAAGGTGGGAATAAGTGTAATTATAAATACTGATGTTTAAAAGATAGTATATTTTGATTGAATTAAAGTTCAAAAGCGATTTTTAAAATTATATTTCCAAAGACACTGACAATTTCAGTTATATGTGCAAAAAATGTGTGAGTTTTTCAGGCGAATACGTGATAGTAGGAAGTTAAGAAAGAACTAAATAAGTGGCGCGTAAGCTTAGTGTGTTTTACTGGCTGTAGTTCACAGACATCACCTTATGAACATTTGAAAATGAATACCGTGTAAGTGCAGAGACGGTTGGAAATTGTGTGGTTTCATAGAATCTCAGACCTTTGGGGACTGTGATTAAACTTTGAAAATGTTTCTGTTATAATAGTAAAGTATGGTGACTTTGATAAAACATTGGGTTTAAAATTCAACTTTATTATTATTAATCTCAAAAGCAATTTTTAATTGCTTTTATTGAGATAATTCTACTTTGAAATGCACAAATCTTAAGCATACAATTCAACAATTTTCAGAGGTGCCTGTAACCATGTAATCACCGCCTTCACCAAAATGAAGAATGTCATTACAGAAAATTTGCCTCCTGTAGTTAATTAAGTGCATCTAGCAAATGTTTTATTTCAAATATTGTACTTTTCATGTCTAGAATTTCTTTGGTCCTTTTTTATTTATCTGCTGAGATTTCCCCATCTGTCATTTATTCTGACCATTTTTATCTTTAATTCCTTGAACATATTTATAATAGCTGCTTTAAAGTATCCGTATGCTAATTCTAGCATCCAGGCTGCCTTGGGGTTGGTTTCTGTTGATTGCTTTTTCTCTTAACTACATGTTACCTTTTGGGGTTTCTTCTCAGGCCTAATTATTTTTAATTGTGTACAGAACAATGTGAATGCTACTTTCTAGACATTCTAGATTCTGTTATCTTCCTCTGAATAATATTAGTTTTGTTCTAGTATGCAGTTCAATTTTCAACTGATCGATCACCTTGAAGATACTTGGTTTTAGGCATTTTTTAAGGGTGAATTGATTTGGATTTTGTCCTTAGTCTACGTGGGTCTGTTAGTCCCGGGACTTCGGCTGAACTTGCCTGTTTCATGGTCCTTCCACAGCGTCAATGGAAGCCACGGTCATACCTCTAGCTTAGCAGGACTTGGCCTCCAAACGGTTGCCCTGCAGGTAGCCCTGCCAGGGAGAGCGGCTGAAGGCTCTGCTCCGCTCTCTCAGCCTTCCCGGGGTCTCCGCCTCCCACTGGTCTCCTTGCGGTCCCACTCCATGCACGTTGAGTTTAGAGCCGTCAACTGGTTTGAGAGTTCCTACCCGGGTTTTGTGGCTGTACCCTTTTTGGTATTTCCCACTTGTGTTTCCAGCTGCTTTGGCGGTTTCTAACTCTGTTTTTTGATATCTTAAAAAAAAAAAACAAGCAAAATCCAAACCGAAAAACAGATGTTCAGTCTAAGGTTAACTGCCTGCGTGTCTAGGCCCTTTGCGGGCCTTCAGGGGGAAGTTGTATGAACGTGAGTTACACGCAGTATTGGTTCCTTCTTTTGGGGTGGATTCTTTTTCAGTTTCCACTTACTTGGATTGTTTCCAGTGCCTTTAAATAGTTCTTAATTTTTCTTCAGGGTTCCTAATTGTTTTCTCTATGAAGGTTAGTCTGATAAAAAACTATTCCACCATCCCTGGACCTGGAACTCTCTCCTTAATTTTTTTTTAAATTATTTTAAATTGTAGTAAAGTACACATAATGTAAAGTTTCCCATCTTAACCATTTTTAAGTATAAACTTCGGTAGTGTTAAGTTCATTTTCATTGTTGTGCAGAGTCTGTAGAACTCTTTCATCTCACAAAACTAAAACTCTGTACCTACTAGACAACGCTTCCTGCTCTCCCCTCCCCAGTCCCTGGTAACCACCCTTCTGCTTTCTGTCTTCGTGAGTTTGACTCTTACGTTCCACGTGTAAATGGAATCATACAGTGTTTGTCCTTTTGTTTTTAGTTTATTTACTTAGCATCACGTCCTCAGGGTCCGTCGGTGTTGCAGCATGTGTCAGAATTTCCATCCATTTAAGTCCGAATAACATTACATTTGTTGCATGTACCACATTTTGTGTATTCATTCATTATCCATCAGCGGGCACGTTAGTTGCTTCTGCCTTTTGGCTGTTGTGCATAATGCTGCTATGGACACAGTGTCCCTTTAATTTTTTAAGACTTGGAAGTGCAATTTCCCTGCACTTCAGCATGGCAGACTTCTCTAGGATGGGCCAGTTCGTTTCAGAAGTAATTCTGGGAAGACATACAGGATAGGGCTGAGAACTAGTTGACAAAAACCAAAACAGAACAAAACAAATGAATAAAAAACAAAACCCATTATCCAAAGCCTTTGGGCGTAAGAGCTTTAGTTAGTTACACTTTTCTACAGTAATTTTTGGCATATTCTTAACCTTTACAACATGCTGTCCTTTGTTTTAATTAAGCCAAATGATTTCCAAGAGAGTTGATGATTGTGTGATCTACCAAAGGAGAGAGATAGGCTGTAATAAAAGTGGTTATTGAGAAAAAAGATTATGCATTTAGCAGTAGTTGTTAAAAAAACACATGAATATTGCAGTAACTGTGTATGGTGCCAGTTGGGGTACTGGAAATATCGAAGGGGACACTATGTAAACTATGTAATTGTCTAGTTGCTAAGCTGTACACCTGAACCCAATACAAAATAAAATAGAAAAAAAAGCAAACACAGGAAAAAAATTAAGAAGATGCAGAGAATACAGCCAAGAGAGTGTACTTCTCCTACTTAGATCACGGTATCAATGACAGCTTTCCAAACCATTCAGACCAGTCCCCAAATAAGATAAACCTAGAAGTAACAAACGTAGGCTTCAAGTTTCTGTGTTACCAAGGTTAATGCAGTATATTTTGGTAATAAAGTACATTAATCACATAGTCCTTTCCAATATATTAATAAGCTTAAATATTCCAAAGCTTTTCTGTACAATAAAGAAAATAATCATTTAAAATATTTAATTGAAAAAAAAACTAACATAAGACAAATTAAAACCAGAATTGTCTTCTAAAAATTTGGACATTTAATTTAATAAGGAATTAGAGCCTAAAAATGTGTGTTGGGAAGGCTGAGAGGTTTTGTAAGCATTTAGAAAATCTGTAGTGATTATAATTTGCATCTCTAGAGTATTTTAATTTATATTTCTGAACCCTGGTACCAGCATATTTAATTGAAATTTTGAATATTATTAGCTATTTTTAGTAGACTTGCCTTCATAAAACTGAGGGTCTTTTTGGTGTGCTTGCAAATTATAACAGGGGTGCTTGTTAAGGCTACAGCAATTTTAGTTCATTTTATAAGAAATGCTTAAGAACATTTATTTAAAAATTTCCCCTGGCCCTGGCTGGGTGGCACAGTAGGTTGGAGCATTGTCTCATATGCCAAAAGGTTGCGGGTTCAATCCTCAGTCAGGGCACATACGTAGGCTGTAGGTTCGATTTCCGGTTGAGATGTGTACAGGAGGCGGCCAATTGATGTTTCTCTCTCACATCGATATCTCTCTGTCTCTCTGTCTCTCTGTCTCTCTCTCTCTCTCATCGATAAATGTATCTGTGGGGGAGGATTAAAATAAAAAGAATTACTAGCTTGTCACATGGGGTTAATTCCTGAGGGGTAAAGAGAACTCTGAAGAATAGGGATCCGCAGATGAGTGGGAACACTATCTCCAGGGTCCCTGGGCAAAGCACTGGAGTGAGGGGTGCATTGGAAGAGAAGTCCCTCACCACAGAGAGCTGCGATCCAGGCCTCTTTGGAGAGGGCACGGCCTTGTTCCACGTGATGGTGGAGAAGTTTGGGGAGATACCAGAGGCTGGGGGAAGCCACCCCCCATGTGCCAGTGGAGTTCTCTGGGAAGCTGCCCTCTGGGTGCTGTTGGAACTCGCTGGCGGTGAGCACCACCAGTGCCCCTCGTGCTGCCATTAGCTGCACGTGCAGAAGCCCCCCAAGAAGAGCACACAGGAACCGGGAGAGAAGCCCTTTCTGCCCCAGGGTGCTCCCAGCACCCTCTACTGATAAATCGTAATAACATTATTCTGGTTGGCAAAGAAGAAATGTATATGGGGTTGAGCTCCAGTATCAGAGTGGGGCAAAAGAGGGTGAATTTGGAGCTGCAAGGCAACAAATTGATAAATTAGTACGCTCCATAAGTGTGTTGTCACTATCTAAGATGCTCTATTTTTAGCTAGTTTGGAACCAGACAGACTATTTAAAAATTGGGCTCCCCAGGAAAATGTAGGACATAAGGTCATTGGTCACTGTACCCCAAAACTTCCAGTTAAATGAGAATCTTTCATTTTGAAAGATTATGTGTTTGTTTTTATACTGTCTTTGCATTTTATTTATTTTTAGAGAGGGGAAGGGGAGGGAAAGAGAGGAGGAGAAACATCAATGTGTGGTTACCTCTTACGCATCCTCCAATGGGGACCTCGCTCACAACCCAGGCATGTGCTCTGACTGGGAATCGAACCTGTGACCCTTTGGTTCGCAGGACAGCACTCAGTCCACTGAGCCACACAGCCAGGGCCCTACTGTACTTTTTGTATTTTAAACAGTGTACATTAAACAGTAGGTGGCCAGTCTCCAGTATAAACAAACGCTGTGTCGGTCTTTGCTTCTTTCATCTAAGTTTTGCTCACTGCTTTGTTTATTCCCGGTAGTGTTCGACTACAGCTATAGAGATTACATTCTGTCCTGGTACGGGAGCCTCAGCAAAGACGAGGGACAGCTGTACCACCTGCTCTTGGAAGACTTCTGGGAGATCGCCAAGCAGCTGCACCACAGACTGAGCCACGTGGACGTGGTGAAAGTCGTCTGCAATGACGTCGTGAGGACCTTACTCACTCACTTCTGTGACCTGAAGGCTGCGAATGCCAGGTAAAGGTTCGAACATGGGGAACCTCCTCCTTTTTCACATGCAGATACTGTTCTTATTGGTCAAGGGACCACAGTCAAGACGAACTCTAGAATACTCTGTCTCTTGCTGATGCTTGGCTTGAAATGTAGACATATTGAGGGGAATTATCATAGTGTTGTGACAGCACAGATTTTTAAAAAATAACTTCGTAATAGCAAGCTACTTTGTAGACTTGTTTAATTTTGTAAGTATCTTAAACAGTGAAGTGAATTTCACTGAATCAGCACTATCATGAAGTTATTAATAGTATAATGGATACCTGGAAATAGAAAATGATAGTGTTTTATGCTGTAAAGAGTATCACTGAGTTTACAATATTTAGAAAAGTTCAGTTGTTTTTTTTGTGTGTGTGAGCCCTGTGCTAAGAACATTGCCACATCCTGAAAATGGATTTTTAGATGGAACTTAATATTGGAGCCTGTGCGATATGGTGAGAGATGTTTCGAAATGAAGACGGCGGACAGGGGGCTTGTTGGCCTTTTGCGCTGTGCATGGGGAGGGTCTGTGCCCCTCACGCAATTGCCTTTGGAAGGAGATTTCAACAAGGCCAGCTCTGTGCTGGCGGTAAATCTTCCTTCCTTAGGTTTGCTGATGGGATCCTCAGCGAACGCGTCGCTCCGAGTGCGTGCAAGAGTGATGCCTTATGCGCTCCTAAGCTGTGCACACAGAGCAGGCTTCTGAGATGGGGAGCCCTCTGCCTGTTTGGAAGTGGACCCAGCTGGAGTAGGAACAGGGCTCCCTATGGTTAATTGGCCTATTTTCTCTGGTGTTATTCTACCTCCACTTTTAGGGAGGAGAGAACGTTTTTGAAAGCTACACAAGGGGGCGAGTAAGTAGCCTTATCGCGTAGGTGGTAATGCATCTTCTTGTTCTAAGAAGGTCTCTCACGTGAATCTGTCAGGAAACAGCCTCCCTGCTGCCCTGCGGTGTTGCTCAGTGGGGCCTGGTCGCTGAACGCTCTCGCACGGCAGCTGCCGGCCACCCCCAGCGTGTTGCTTCTTCCCCGTATCGTCTTCTCTCCCGAAGTCCGCCTGGCACAGGCTTATGAGTCCGAGGTCCACAACAGAGCCATCACATGCCTACAGTTTTCCGGCAAACTTGTAAAAACTTGGACTCCTAGAAAGAAAGACATCTTATATCGTGACCCAATTTCATAAAACAATACTGTTATTACATGGGATAACTGATACATTTTGTTAACATTTTCTTTTAAATGGTGTTTGAAGCTAAGTAAATTCTATTTTGTTCCTTGTGGGTTACAACTCATGGTCTAAAAAAATTACTGTGCGGTGGTTACTATTTTTTTGGCCTCAGGAGTCCTCTACGCTCTTACACATTACTAGGCACCCAAAAGGGTTTTGTTTATGGGATCATACCTCGTGGTGCGCTGGGGCCAGCCTGTCCTGGCTGAGGAGAGGTAACTCTTCCTGACTCTGAGTTCAGTGACGTCGCATCATTAGCTTGTAACTGGCCATGCGGGGATATTTCCACTGTGAAATGGGCGAACGCTACAAATGAGAGCTTTTCTTTTTTCCATCCCCGTTGAAGAGCCAGTTGTTAAACATTTACCAGCTCACCAGTTATATCTACCAGTATTTACCATGTCAGGTATTAAAACTAAGAAACTTTTAAAATGCAAGAGTATGCAGTATACTCTCCATTAGCCATCAGAGTGATGATGTCATCACATCTTGTGGCCTCTAGAAAACTCCACTGTGCTTGTGAGGCTGAGAGTGAAAACACAGATGACATTTTTCTGTGACTATGAATATAGTTTTGACCTCGGAGCACCCCTGAAGGGGTCTTGGGGACACGTAGGAGTCTCCAGACCAGCCTGTGAAAATTGCTGTTGACAGAGAAGTTTACTTCCAGCAAGGGGGCATGTGCCCTAATAAGGAAGGTGAGAGAGGTGGGACTCGTGGGCTACCTCCCCAGAGTCTCAAAGCTTCAGCCTCTGCTTTTGAGGGTTCAGCAGCCCGTGGAGCACCCGCCGATTGGCCATAGTGTCTGTTACGCAAGGCGCTCCGCACTTCTCCCTGGTGGACACTGCCAAAGCCTTGAACTGAGTGGAGGCTCGTTTTAAGGTAAAGTAGTTAAATTATGGTCCACTACCGGAAAGTATTTTAAATCAGTGTTTTATTCCAGTTAGAAGGCCGATGGATTTAGGTTTGGGAGAAGAGCAAGTGGTTAGAGAAATTTGGTATTTTTATGATTATCTGACTTTAACATTGAAATATATTTTTCATTGAGACATTTACCATCTTCTGAAATTACTGCTTCTGTGGATAATATATGTTACAGATAAAGCATCAGAATAATAGAAACAGAGGAGTTATTTTATTTTTTATTTATTTAATTTTTTTTAAAGATTTTATTTATTTTTAGAGAAGGAAGGGAGGGAGAAAAACAGAGAGAGAGAGAGGGAGAGAAACATCAATGTGTGGTTGCTCGGGGTCATGGCCTGTAACCCAGGCATGTACCCTGACTGGGAATCGAACCTGCAACTCTTTGGTTCGCAGCCCGCGCTCAATCCACTGAGCTATGCCAGCCAGGCATTTTATTTTTTAAATTTATTTATTTTTAGAGAGAGAGGAAGGGAAAGAGAAAGAGGAAGGGAGAGAGAGAGAGAGAAGAAGAGAAACATTGATCGGTTGCCTCTTGTGTGAGCTCTGACCGGGGACCTAACCCACAAACCCAGGCGTGTGCCCTGACCAGGGCTTGAACCCACAGCCTCTTGATCTGGGGGACAACACCCGACCATCTGAGCCACACTGGGCGAGGCAAATTGATTTCATTTTAGAAACTTCTTTTCTTTGGGCTTCCAGTTGTCTTCCACCCAGGGCAGATCTGTTCTACTGATATCTAGGCGGTGCCTGGACGCTCTCATTGATGGTCCTTATTAAAGAAAATACGCTCTCACTGTTCTCTGGGATTATGGATGTTTGACAAGTACCAGAGGGCCACTGGTGTTCTGCATACGGACGATCATGCGTGCCCCGGGGGGGAAGCCAGGAGAACTGATAACTGCTTGTGTGTCGTCTTCTCCAAATCACACCGGGAAACCGATGGGCAGCCCATTTGGGTTTGCTGGCTAGATCTGTGCTTGCTGGCCCCAGGTGCACCGTGCCCTTATCCTGGAAATCTCCATGGCTGTGCAGGTGCCCTTGGCTGCGAAATGGCTCGACAGCCTGGGAGGCTCCGGTTGACGTGGCCACTATCAGACAGGAGAGTAATAAATTGCGTTAATAAAAGCAGCGCACCCTCCGGCCGACTGTTAGGCGGTTATGTGGTGGCAGCTTTCCGGGGGGCCTGTATTTATTTCCAGGCCAACATTCTCTTGCTGCTTCAAGCCGATCCAGATGACATTTAGGTCTTGCCTCTGCTTCCGCTTCCTCTGTCCCATCTGTCTTGTTCTGGCGGGTTTCAGGAAAATCTAAAAACAATTGTTTTTTATGCCATTACATCGATAGCATCTTTAATTTCGTAGTTGCTTTACGATCTCCGTGTTTTGTTTACCAGTCAAGCACTGATACGGTGTTTCAGGGGAAAAAAATAATGTTCTTATTCACATATTTCTTTTCTTTATCGCTGCAGTTTTTTTCTCCCCTCATCTGTGCAGTCTCTGACTGTGGTGTGGGGTAAAGAGCCTGGCCTTGAGAGTTATTTTCACCATTTGTTACCTCTGTGATTGGACCGCTCACTTAACTGCTCAGATCCTTAACATTCTCATCTATAAATGGTGATGACCACGTATACTTCTTGGTGTAGGTGGGAAAGAGAAGTAATGGTGCACCTAGGAAGTTCACAAAAGGTCCTTTTCCTCCCTCGGGGCACGAGAGCCCGAGGTCAGTCACAGGGCTGCAGTGAACAGATTCACGCCGACCGGAGGAGGAGGCCGCTGCCACCAGGACGAGGGCTGCGGTCCTCCAGATGTGACATGGGTCCTCCAGATGTGACATGGACGTCTCCTGACCCAGAAGCAGCCCTTGGACTCGTGATTCTTTCTTGGCTTCTGAAGCGGCGCCTGATGTCCACTTACTAGGGGGCATCATGGGAGTATCCTGCCCGGAGTTCGCAGAGGGCTCCCTTTCCTTCTCCCAGAGGTCAAGCTTGTCTGACCGGCCTTCTGGGCTTCGGCTCGGTCCGCAGGCTCTCCCCTGACTCAGCTGCAGGGGGGAGAGGGATCCGTGCCAGTCCGAGGGTCAGGCCCCGTCCGTTGTCCGTCTCCCACTGGAACAAGAGGGGGCGGTGCGCACTCTCTGGGAGGGAGTTTGATATTTAAAGAAGCGTCTCATGAAAGTGGGATTTTTTTTTTAGCCAGCTTCCCACAATAATATTAACCAAATATATGTATTTAAAGTAAAGTGTCACCCTTAAAAGTGCTTGAAATGACAAAGTAGCATGTAAATCTTATTGAACTCTAGCCGGCAGCATAGCTGGAGTTTAAAATAATTGAAGGTGCCAGTTAAAAAAGGCAGCGTAGATTAGTGTATGGGCAAAGGCTCGCTCTTACCATCTCTCTGTTCGTGTTGTCGGCTTTGCACGTTAGGGGCGAACCCCTCCCATTTGCTGGAGAAGACAAGGAGGAAATCTTTCTTTTTCAGTGTGCACATTCTAGAAACTAGTCTATCTCGTGCAAAAAGAAATCATGGTTCCCCCCTGAGAGACGTTGGTCATAATGGCTCCAATAGGCACTTATTGTTTCATTTCCCGGGCAGGACCTGGTTTGCTTCCTCCCAGTCCGTTCAGTGTTTGTTTTTTCCTCTCTTCCAATATTGGCCACGAGTTACTGTAAGAAGCCCATAAACTTTAACAAATTACCTCCCTCTTCTTTCTTGAGCTGCTGCCAAGGTACTGTAGGAAAAGGAGGTATAGGAAGTTCTCTCCATTCTTCCTCCCTCCGGTCCTCCGACCTAGTGGCCCTCGGGTGGGGTGGGGTCAGTGCTGACAGGGGGTCTGTGACCCGGGCTGGCAGAACTAGTTGGAAAACACTCGGGAGCCTCACAGAAGACAATGTGCCCCCTGAATTATGTAGCATCAAGCCGTGCACTCTCTCTCCTCAGCAGACGCGCTGTGGGTTTTTTTAATCCCATGATCCCCCAGTCAGGAAAGCTGGCCGGTGCCTCTGGTTTATGCTTTGTTAGCAGGTTTTGTTGTTTTTTTTTTTTCCTTTGCAAAGTAAAGCTGTAGATCACATTTATGAAAGATCTAGGAGACTTAAACATAATCTAGTTAAAGAAGTACTCACACCTTTCTGGAGTGTTGCTGTGATTCGGGAGTTATGTATAACTGTTGGTGCTACTTAAGGTTTGAAATCCCCAAAGGTTGTGCATTTGCACCCAGATTAGTCTGTGGTTAAGAAAATTCTTGACCACTGATATCATTGAGGAGCAGACACAGTTTTTAAAACCGATGCATTGCCCACTTGAAATATTTTTTACCTAATGGCCTATAACTGAAGTGTTTCTAGAATTTTCTTTCCTCCTTTTATCCTCTCTCATGTGTCCACTTTGTAGACAGGAAGACCAGCCAAGGCCGTTTGTGTTGCATGCGTGCTTGAGGAACTCGGCTGAAGAAATAAGATTCCTGCAGACGTGTTCTCGGGTTCTGGTGTTTTGTCTCCTCCCCTCCAAGGACGTCCAGTCTCTCAGCTTGCGTATAATGCTCGCAGAGATTCTCACAATGAAAGGTAACCTCCCATAAGTAATCGATATTTCCAATTGTGATGGCAGTTGTGCAAATGAAGGTGCTGCACACTAATGTGATGGGTAGCAGGTGACAGGACACCTGCACGGACCTTGCACACTGTAGGACGCAGGAGATTTAGAATATTTTCAAAGTACTAAGTTTAAATGTCACTCAGAGAGGGCATCATTTGGCCATATCCGATGAACAGATTTTTATATAGCATCACCCAGTGCTATATAAAAAATAACATTTGTTGTCAAAACAACAACATTTTGTTGTTTATTTTGACACAGGATAACCAGCCCGTACACTTTTCATAGGAAACCTCCATTTGGGATAGCTTTTGCATTATCCAGGCCAGTAACATATATGTTAATGAAAGAGTATCTCTATTCAAACTCCAGTGTGCATTTACTTAAAATTCCTTTGCTACAAGATTCATTGATAATGCCTATATGTAATTTTGTGAACTTGGAATACATTTTTTTTAAAAAAGGAACTGTACCACAATATAATATGATTACTAGAAAAAAGTATATCCAGGGACATGCTTAGCCAGGTAAGAAAAAGAAGAAAATATGACCTAAGAGAAAATTTTCTACCTCGTAATTTCACACAAATAACATTGCATTTGCTGGGCATTGACTGACCCTCAGTATTTCAGGATTAGCCAGTGGTACCCAGTAGCTGATGTAATCAACCACAGAGAAAAGAGGAACTTTTGAACCTAAAGTCCATAGAATGAATTTGTAATAGTGTCATTGACTTTTTAACAACTTACCCCCTGAGGTCTGCTTTCAGCAGTGGGGAGAAAGTTGATTTTCATCTTTGGGCAGACAGAACATGTTGAGCCTTATAAAGAAAATAAACGAAAAAAAAATCAAAGCACTTAATTTTGATAGCTTTGTTAGTAATTTCGGAAAGGCAGGCGTGTGTGTGTGGGTATGTGTATGTCTTCATGGTCCTCATTTGGGTAGTTTTAAATGTTCCCCAAACGTGGATTCAGTTGCACAATAGAAAGACAAGTCCTTTACAGAGCAACGCCCTTTTCAGCTGTGCCGTCTTGCCCTCCCCAGTGTTGAAGCCCGCGGTGGCCTTGCTCAGCAACCCAGACTACATCAACCAGATGCTCCTGGCCCAGCTGGAGCGCAGGGAGCAGATGAATGAGCATCACAAGCGGGCCTACACCTACGCTCCTTCCTACGAAGAGTTCATCAAGCTCATTAACAGCAACTCGGACGTGGAGTTCCTGAAGCAGCTCAGGTATCTGGGGTCCAGCCGGAGCACCACAGTAGCTGCTGACCCTCGACTCGGCCTGGGTGGGTGGAGACGAGCCTGTTGGCCCGGGAAGCCGAGGGGAAGGAAGTCTGCGCGCCTTGCCTTCAGTGATCGCCGCACGTATCCAGCTCCTCCTCTAGCAGTGGAGTGAGTTTTCTCTAAGTGCCACGTGTTTAGGTACTTAGGTTACGTGGATTGAAAGCCGGTCGGCTGGCAGGAGTATCAGGCTCAGCCACTCTGGTCCTTTCCTTAGGAAAGCGTCGGAAGGAGGTGATGGGAGTTTAGATTACATTGCAGAACACTGCGTTGATTTTCATTGGTCTTCGAGACCCCTGCAGAGAACATGCGGGTTTGGGAGTAAAGGGTTCTTGACTAATTGTTTCGAGAAAACACATTTGAAATAGACCCCAGGAGTCTCTCTTATAGGAAAGTTCGATCTCACTTACTGTACTTGATGTATTTTAGGGGTGAGTGTGTGTGTTTTGTTGTTCTTTTTACAGTAAGTGTGTGCACATACGGTGTGATTGCATAGTGTTGTGTAGCTGGTGGCCTTTCTGGGCTCCTGTTTCTCTAGTCACTCTGGGTTTAGCGTCTGCAGATGGTCACGCATGGGGAAGAAAGGAAACTCGGGCACATCATTTTCCCTCTGATAGCTCATTCTGGCAAATCGCTGATGGAAAAGTAAACATTGGCTGAAACGGGATCTTTGACCATTTGAGATTTTACACTTGCCTTCTTTGCCCCTGAACTGGGGTCAACGTTAAGCTGAGTTACAAAAAGCGGCCAAAAGACTTTAAAAAAATGAACGGGACTCATTATTGTGAACAGCCAACTCTTGGTCGGTCCTTCAGCGCCACCATCATTCTGCGTCCGAGCGCAGTCCCTCGTTATAGGCGTGGATCATAGTAAGAACTAATGGTTTAGTTTTTCAAAATGCACCAACCGGAGGCTCAGCTCTAGGGATGCTATGCATAGCTTCGTGTTGGCCGTTCATCACCTGGTAGGTAAAGAAACAGCTCGGCAAGAGTTGCCTCCTACGGACGAGCCCATGGTGTCGCAGGCCCCAGGGCCATCGGACCCCCTGCGCTTGTCCCAGTAGGAGCGCCGTGGACTGCCCCGGTCTGCGTGGCCAGGGCTTGCACCCGACGTTCTGATTTCACACGCTCCCTCTGACACGAGACGGAACAGAAACCGTGTGAGCATTGCCGTCTTCCTCTTCCGTCGTCGCTTCCTCTTGATCTCGTACATAGGGCAGCACAGGGGGTCCTACGGAAGGGGGCAGGCCCTCCGAGCACAGGGAGGCTTTGAACAGGCAGCGCAAATGCTGAACTCAGGAATGGCTCTTTCAGCCCTGGCTGGCGTAGCTCAGTGGATTGAGCGCGGGCTGCGAACCAAAGTGTCACAGGTTCAATTCCCAGTCAGGGCACATGCCTGGGTTGTCGGCCATGACCCCCAGCAACCGCACATTGATGTCTCTCTCTCTCTCTCTCTCTCTCTCTCTCTCTCTCTTTTTCCTCCCTCCCTTCCCTCTCTAAAAATAAATAAAATCGTTAAAAAAAAGAATGGCTTTTTCAAATATTGAGATAATTCACATACCACAAAATTCATCATTTTAAAGTATACGATTCAGTGGTTTTTAGTACATTCCAAGGCTGTGCATCTGTCATCACCAGTTCCTGAATGTTTTCATCACCCTGGAGAGAGACCTGTGCCTGTTAGCCGTCCCTTCCCATTCCTTGCCTCCCCCCTCCCCCCGCCGGGCCCTTGGCAGCCACTAGCCCGCTTTCAGTGTCCGTGGATTTGCTGGTTCTGGACACTTCGTGGAAATCAAGTCGACCCACAGGTGGCCTGTTGTGACTGGAACTTCGTTCACTGAGCATAGTGTTCTCAAGGTTCGCCCGTGTTGTAGAATATATCGGTATCTTATTCCTGGTTTTGGCTGCATAACATTCCATCGTATGAATATACCCTATTTGTTTATCTGTTCACCAGCCCATGGAAATCCGGGTCGTTTGCACTCGAAAGAACGCCCTTTGAGTAATTAATTGTTGAGCATCTTCAGTAGCCTCATCAGCGACTGTTGATAAACACAGGGAGGGGCAAACATTCTTTGGAATATACACAGAGTTTATTCTTGTATTATTATTTATTAATTACTGTATTATTTTCCACATTAACAATGGTAAACCTGCTTTTGCCCCACCTTGTGAACGAGAGTCAGATAAAATATTGCAGAGTCCTAACCTCTCTCGGCGGCCGCCTGCCCCCCGCTGCACACCTGCCCCCACTGCACACCTGCCCCCGGCGGGGAGTGATGGAGTGCCGACTCCAGGAAGGGCGTGTCTCTGGGGCACATTCCTGTCCGACTGTTGAGCTCTCTGGGCCTGCCACCCCACCGTCAGACGCGGTGCTTCCAACGGAGTCTGTAAAGTCAGAGGGGAGGCCCCTTGGAGGTACTTCGGTGATTTAGATAATCAAACTATTAGAAACAAAAAGAATGCGTTTTCAGATTTAATTACATTGGCACCTTAATGGAGCGCAACTGGAATGACCTCTTCTGACCCTGTCTCTTTATAAACTTTCAGTTCCTCATGTCAGTTTCTGGAAGTATGTCTCTGACTTCCTCTGGAAGGACTGCAAAGTTCTCTCTTAACAAGGAATGTAAACCTCTTAAAAGAGTCGTATGCATTTGGCAGCACAGCTATGGGATCATGGTAACCCCTCAGTGATCTTGGCGAAATCCCTTTGGAGAGGAACACTGCGGAAGGCGTTGGTCTCGATGATCGGTGCACACACCAGGAGTTTAGCTTCTGGGGTCCTTTTGTACGCACTGTGCTGAGGCAGCTGCCCCGGACCTGGGGCTCAGGCAATTCCTCGGGCTCTGCCGTGTGATAGAGCGCCGGGCCGTTCTGTGGCACGGGCGTGTCTTCTGTCCACGGGGCTGCTGGCCCTACGCGCTGCATCTCCGGAACAGACCCGGGGGCCACCCTTTATTCTCTGCTTCTGGTTCAGCTTGAGCTCGAGAGGCTACCGGGAACAATGCTGCTGTGGCGGAGATAGATCGTTTTGCCCAAACACGTAGGTAGTGTTGCATAAATTATCTTGTTATTTGGCTCCTTATTGTGTATCGGACAGAGAAGTTGCTCTCTAGGCCAGGGTCAGGTCTCCTTTTTGTTACTGATGGGCGAAGTTGCTCTCTATCAGACCCCCATCTGGAGCCGACACTGGGAGGCTTATCAGCTGTCTGCCGCTGGTGGTGCGGCCTCTCCAGTCCCGGTCCACGCCGTTCTGCGGTCCTTCTGAGGACACGCGAGTGCTCTGCTGTCTGACCTGATGGGTGCTCTGGGCCACTACTTTCAATTCGCTGCTCTTCAAGTTTTAGGATTGGCTGCCTAAGGCAGGGCATGTCTTACTTGGACGACAGAGTTGATGAAACTGTCCCCTTTTATTTGATGCGTATTTGACAGAGAGATGGCTACTTTCTAGAGGAAAAAAAGTCACTTACCTCGGCCAGGTTGGAATGCATTAAAGACAAAGAAGCAGACAAACCTAGAAGGTAGTGTTTGAAGCTCTGCGGTGTGTGTTTTTTCCGAGTCGGCCTGAGATGCTTTCACAGCAGGAGTCTAGAGCTAGACGTACTTCCTTCAATTATACTAACTTAGTGGGTGTTTTTTTATAAATCCTGACTGCTTATTAAAGTCGCCCAGGCTTTGAAAAAAGTACAGTGGGAGTTGGGTGTCTCGCTTTCCTTGGCTGCTTCCTTTCTCTTCTAAGATGTCGCAGCGAGGATGTGGTGGCTGGCTTGGTTCAAGACTTTGAGTTTTCCAGGCTCTTCTAGTAGAAGTAGCGATCCACTCTGTTGATAAAACAGGAGCCCCCCAAATCTGACAGGCATCTCGGTGCCGGATATGAAAGGGCAGGCGGAACAGGTTCCCCCCACCTCCCCGCCACCGTGGGCAGTGGGGCGGTGAGTCCAGGCGGGGAAGGCGGAACGGGGCTCAGAGCTCAGCGCCCCGTGGTGAAGCTCAGCAATTACAGCCCCCCCAGGGAAGGAACTGCGTGTTCCTTTCTTCTGGAGATAAAGCCGGAGTCAGGGTAAACATTAGGCAACGGGAAACACAGATGCTGCTCTTGAAAGTGCTTCTTGGAAAGGAGTGGGCGGACTGTGGCCCAGGCATGCACCCGCGGCTGCACGCCGCGGAATTCTCCAGTGAATTTGTAAGAAGCACCCTAGTGAAAAATACTCGCTCCCCCATGAAATGGGAGAGTTTTTACGTCGCTGGTTGGAGCGGAACCTGGGCATCAGCATTTTTAAACGCTTCCCAGGGGATTAGAACATGCAGCTAGTATTGAGAATCTTTTGAATGGGATGTTCTCCCATGTGCTACCAATCTGAAGTCTTGGCTGGGTGTTATGTCCCATAATTTGTTGTACTGTAACTCTCTGAGAACGGTCTATCACTGTTTGAGATGCTCCGGTGAGGAGAAAGCTGGTTAATCAGGATACCTCGTTCTCCTACCAAGTTACTGTAATCAGCAAAGGCCTTCCTGAGATACATTTTGACCTCAGGTGTCTCACCCTGGGCAAAACTGACCCTTTGGGCTAGATATTGATAATTCTTCGTTGTGGGGGCTGCTCTGTTTATGGCAGAGTGTTTGCAGCATGCTTCACCTCCCCGCACTGGCTGCCATGAGCAGGCCCGCAGTCCTGACAACCGGAAGTGACTTCAGACGTCACCAGATGTCCGTGGGGGGACAAAGTCACCCCTGACAGGAGCCGTTGCTGTAACCCCATGAATAGACTGGAGATATTTATATTAGTTTGGATTAGATTCACAAAATACCCACAAAATAAGATGGTTTACCGAAGCCCAGAGGGGTGGTTCTTTCTTACATAGAGAGTCTGGTAGGCATTCCAGCACTGGCGGGGGGGTGGGGGGACTCCGCTCCACTCCCCTCCTGGGCCCTCCAGCCTGCTGCTCCGCT